AACCAAGGGCCCTGGGGCAAAGTCTGGAATTGCTGTGTTCACGTAAAGCAGGAGACCCAGAGCTCAGCAGCTGCTGCTCCCCTGGAGAGGAGACTGCTCAGACCTACCTCTCAGCCCAGTGTGCCTCAGTTTTTTGTGGAGTGCCTAGGGCTCAGTAAGCATTGACGTGGTAACAGCAGTCCTGTGTGATTGGTGTGGAGACTCTCTCCAGGAATGCCTCACTGGAAGATTTATCACTGTGAGACCATCACGTCTACATCATGTCTACAATGTCATCGCTAGGTGATATAATCATTCTTTTAAGATTTTTTAATTTTAATTATATATGTAGGGTGTGTGTGTACATGAGTGCAGTGCACTTAGAGGTCAGAAAAGGGTATCAGATCCCTGCTGGAACTGGAGTTACAGGCAGTTGTGAGCAGCTTGACCTGGGAGCTGGGAACCCTATTTGGGGCCTCTGTAAGAGCAGCATTGTTAAGTGCTGAGCCCATCTCTTCAGCCCTGATATAATTCTTTCTATTTTTCTTTTCCCCTTTATTTAGTGATTCTAAGGATGGGATCCGGAACCTCGTACTTGTCAGGCAAGTACTCTGCCACTGAAGCACCCCTCCTCCATCCTGTAGGTTATGTAATCTGGAGGGATGACAGCAGAACCCGCAGCTCCAGGTTGCCCACCCCTCTGTTTACACAGCACATGGCTGATTTCAGCCCAGTGCCTGACACTGCGTGCAGTGTTCTTCCCAGGCCAGCATCTCCAACCTTCCAGGAATGGTCCCAGGGTTCCATGCCCCTAGGGCCTCCCCAGCCCCTTGAACTCTTCCCAAGGGTGCCCAGCTGAGTCACGGGTATGCCCTGTGCCCCCCACTCCTGGGCCGTAGGCTCAAAGCAGCAATGTAGGACCCAGGCCAGCCTCCAGCACGTCACATGGGGCGTACCTGCATGTGCCTGGACACTCTCCTCGTCAGCATCTGGTGATTAGGAAGTCACTCTCCATGTGGGACGAGGTCTAATCAGCCTGCCGATAATCACCAGGCCCAGAACGTGGCCGCAATTCAGGAAAGACGATCCCCGAAGACAAGCACCACTTAAATCCTGGCACTGACCACAGTCCCCTTGGTAACCCATGCTTCTGAGCACGATTTAGCCAGTGAGCTAATTGATGTTCTCCTGGGCAGTCAGCTCGTGCCCGGCAATCGAAATGGACGCTAATTGCTGACATCCTTCAGGTAAGAGGCCCTTCGTGTTCTCGGGCCACCCAAGAGGCCCGGAGCAGGAACTGAGTCTCTCAGCAAATCGGTGCCATGATTGCAAATAATTAATCGAAACAAGGTTTGCAGAAAGAATTAATTACAGAACCTATCAGAGGAAACGGTGGTTTCACTGGATGGGAGAGGCTGGCTTCTCACCGGAGCTCAAAGCAAAGATGTAGGTAATACAGAAATAAACATTTTTAAAGTGCTTCTGGTACTTGAAGTTTTACAGAATTAGATTATGCCTTTATAATTTTTTTAAAAATCAATTGCATTTTTTGGTGTGTGTGCGTGTGCGCGTGCACACACACACACACACACACACACACACACACACACGCTCACGCACTCATGCCAAGGTGCATACGATGGTAAGAGGGCAACTTTTGGAAGCCCGTCCCCTCCTCCCACCATGCGGGGCCTTGGGATCAAACTTAGGTCGTCAGGCTTGATAGCAAGCTTCTTCAGCGAGCCATCCCACTGGCCTTAGGCTGTGCCTTTGATAAGTGACATCACCACTTTGAGCCACATATTTGTCTTTTTAAAGGAGGTATGTATCAACCAGCATTCTTTCATGGTAACAAAGCGCCCAAAATAATACATTTTTAAGAAGAAAAAGTTGGTTCAGCTTAGTTTTGGAGGTTCTGGTCCAGGATCCCTCGACCTCGGTGGTTTTGCTCTTGTGGTGAGGCAGCTTCTTGGTATATAGCACCCCAAAACTCAAGAAGTAATGAGAGAAAAGGACGGCCCTGGGACCCAGGATCCTCTTGGAGGGCAATGCCCTCAGTGACTTAAGACCTGCTACTGGGCACAATTTTGTAAAGGTTCTACCATCTCTCTACAGCACCACAGTGGGGACCGTGCCTTTAACATGGTCTTGGGGACACTGAAGGTCTAAGAGGGCTGGTGAGATGACTCAGCAGTAAAGGCACTGCCTGCCAAGCCTGACAACCTGAGTTTGATCCCCGGGCCCCACATGATGGAAGGAGAGAACCTGCTCCTGAAAATTGTCCTCTGACCTCTACAAACATGCAGTGGCATGCACACCCTCCCCTACACACACACACACACACACACACACACACACACACACACACATACACACACACAATTAAATTTTAAACCATCAAGATCTAAACTACTACATGAGGGTGTAAATGAAAGCTGGAAAGAGTCTTGTATAGATCCCACCCAGATCACTGCTGTTTCTTAGCACCATAGGGCAGGGGAGAAAGCCAGTGTGCCTTGTGGAGGGCCATTTGGTACCCTCTGAGGTGGTGTGTGTGTGTGTGTGTGTGTGTGTGTGTGTGTGTGTGTGTGTGTGTCTGCCTGACTACCTATGGGCCTTCTTGAAGCAGCTCCACAGGCCAGCATCACCAGAGAGAAGCCCTCAGCCTCTGACTGGAGGAAACTGGGAGACATATTCCCAACCTCCTCAGCCTATCAAGCTGGACAACTCTAAGATGTGGTCCGTGTCTCCTAAGAGTCCCCCAAAAGATGGAATCCCACCGCCAACCTGTTCACCAATACAGCCCGACTTCTTCCCTCCCCTGTCTGTATCTGTCCCCCACTCCAGATCACTGCTTCCTGGGATCAATGTCCATATATGTCAACTGTGTTCAAATCCTTGTCTGAGTACTGGTGCTGGGGACACCCAGTCTCAGGCAGGTGTAATTATAGACTGTGATAACTGTGAGGAAGGAGAGGGCCTCCGGGCCGCAGTGCCACATTCTGACAACGTGACGGCTGAGGTGACAGCTGAGGAGGGGCAGGCAGATCATTAGGACTGCAGTGGAGCATGGTAACCAGCACGCAGGAAGTGGAACCCAGCCTGCCAGCGCTCAACTCTCCCACTGCTGAGCCTTCCAGGTGCAAAGAGTCAGAATCTGGGCATTCTGATGGGTCAGGGCATGTGTGCTGATCAACTAAGGTCTGCTGAGTGATTTGGCTATTGTCCTTGGAATCGGGTGCTTGTCGTGTTTTTTTTTGGGGGGGGGGCGGGCAGCAAGGGGCAGTGGATAGCGCTGGCAGCAGGGCCGATGGAGCCGTCCTTCAGGGCCCACCATGGGAGTGGAGAGAAGGGGAGAGGTCTAGAGGCCTTAATGTATTCACGTTGACAAGTCAGTGACGGTACCACGTAGAAAAGCCATTTAAAAAGTTACCAAGGCTAGAGAAGACAGCTCAGCAGTTAAGAGCACTTGCTGCTCTTGCAGAGGACCTAGATTTGGTTCCTGATGCCCGCTTCTAATTTCTGTGGGATGCGGGTAAGCACACGGTACACAGGCATTCACGCAGGAAAAACACACACAGGTCCTCTTGGGCAACTTAGTGAGACTGTCTTTAAAAAACAACAATAAAGCTGGATGTGGTGGCACACGCCTTTAATTCTAGCACTTGGGAAGCAGAGGCAGGTGAATGAATCTCTGTGAGTTCGAGGCCAGCTTGGTCTACAAAGTGAGTTCCAGGGCAGGCTCCAAAGCTACACAGATAAATCTTGTAAAACAAAAACAAAGCCTGGCAGTGGTGGTGCACTCCTTTAATCCCAGCACTTGGGAGGCAGAGCCAGGCAGATCTCTGTGAGTTTTGGGGCCAGCCTGGTCTAGAGAGTAAAATCCAGAACAGACACCAAAACAACACATAGAAACCCTATCTTGAAAAACCAAAAAAATAAAGAAAAACAAAACAAAACAAAAAAAAAACCCACAACAATAAAACAAAACAAAATAATGTATACTTACAATGGGTTAAAGAAAGGGGTGTGTGGACAGACAGACACACACACCACACACACACACACACACACACACACACACACACACACACAGAGTCTTCACGTATTTGGTTTGGTGATTTGTTTTTGTCTTTTTGCAGGACCTTTGCTACCCAGGCTGGCACCCAATTCCTGCCTCCAGGGAGCCTCTTGTCACCCTCCCACAGGCTGGGACCACAGGGATGCACACTATGGCTTTTGTGTGAGTGCTGGAAACAGCTTCATGCAAGCCGGACAAGTGCTCTACCACTGAGCTCCATCCTCAGCCCTAGAGTAGATACACTTTATGATAGACTACCCATCACCACAAGAGAATACTCTTTATATATATATATGTATGGAAGTACTGATATATGCTGTAATATGAGTGGACCTTTAAAATACTGTGCTGGGCAGGGGTGTAGCTCAGTAGTAGAGTGCTTAGAAGTAAGGTGCTTATATGTGAAGGGTCCTGAGTTCAATGCCTAGTACCAGAATCAACCAATCAATCACACATACCGTGAAATTGGCCAGAAGGCTGTCATCAGCAGCTAACTCTTGCTACAAGTTGGGGTTTATATACCAGAAAGCTGCTGCATATATACCCCGTGTCAGGACAGCTCTGTTTTTACATCTAAAGTCTTTGTAAAACTCCAATATCTCTAATTTAAAAGTTTAAAAACAAAAACAAAAACATGGGCTCCTGTAAAATCAAAAATAAATACTTTCTTTAAGAGGGAAGAACCAGGGCACAGTCACAATCTGAACAAAGCAAAATAAACTCCAGCAATGTAAATAACTCAATGTCAGCCAGGCAGTGGTGGTGCACACCTTTGATCCCAGCACTCAGGAGGCAGCGGCAGGCAGATCTCTGAGTTCAAGGCCAGCCTGGTCTACAGAGGAAGTTCCAGGACAGTCAGGAATACACAAGGAAACCCTGTCTCAGCAAAATTTAAAAAAAAACCCCAAACCTCAATGGCCAGTATTTGGGATCAACTCACGATCTTCCAGGCTCCTCCAAGGGGCTTGGGTCACTTCTCTGGCTCTGCCCTCTGCAGCTCACTTACAGCTTGTCTTCTAGGGTTAGGCAGGCTCCACCCCACTGCTGCTGCTATTCTTGGTGGCCATCCCAAGGTACTGGTATTTTCAAAATGCTTGGGTCTTAGATTGCAACTGGGCTGCACGTTCACAAGTAGCCTCTCTTGGACTCTCTTCAAGGTGCCAAGCCTAGACTTGTATCCATGACCCCTTCAATCCTGGGGCTTCAAACGCTACTGAGGCTGCACCTTCACCAATGATCTCTCCTGGCTTCTCACAGCGCTGAGCCTCTCCACGACCCTTACAGGCCTTCAAAACCAGTGCTACTTGAGAGACTCTTACACATGGCCAAGTCTAGCTGCCAGTGCAAGGTACAGCCTAGGCCACCTCTAGAACACAGCCGACTCTCAGGAAACATTTCCCAGAAGATTTCACCTCAGTGATGCTGGTCTCCTCTTAATCACTGCTCACGTCTCAGCTCCAGCTGACCAGTATAATTATCCCAGCAAAACAAGAGTTGCACTTCAGTGTTTCTGGTCTCTTGTTAATCATGGCTGATTCTTCAGCCCCAGTTGACCAGACACCACATAGTCCTCACACAAATGACCCAACAGACTCTTTGCTTCTCTCTGAAACATCATAAACCATGTCTCCATCATCTGCATTGTTCTCAACATTCTTTTTGTTTGTTTTGAGACAGGGTTTCTCTGTGTAGCCTTGGCTGTCCTAGATCTCCCTCTGTAGACCAGGCTGGCCTCAAACTCACAGGGATCCACCTGCCTCTGCCTCCTGAGTGCTGGGATTAAAGGTGCCTGGCTGCTCTCAACATCCTTATTTTCTAAACTCCTAAAGAACAGCTCACGGAGCTCTCAACACTCATGGTTTTTCTAGCCCAAAGTCCTGAAGTTCTTACAAAATCTTCCCCCAAACAACACAGTCAGGACTGTGGCAGCAATCCCCCATGAACATGTTTTAATTAGTGTTACTATTGCTATGATGAAATACCTTGATCAAAAGCAACTTGTGCCGGGGCGGTGGTGGCCACACACCTTTAATCCCAGCACTCAGAGGCAGAGGCAGGTGGATCTCTGTGAGTTCGAGGCCAGCCTGGTCTACAGAGCAAGATCCAGGACAGGCACCAAAACAACACAGAGAAACCCTGTCTTGGAAAACAAAAACAAAAACAAAAACAAAACAAAAAAACCAAAACCAAAAACAAGCCAACAAAAAAAAAAGGCAACTTGTTTATTTGACTTAAACATCCTGAGTCATAGTCCATTGTGGGAAGTCAAGGCAGAAACTCAAACAGAACAGGAACAGGAACCTGGAGGCAGGAGCTGATGCAGAGGCCACACACAGAGTGCTGCTTACTGGTTTGCTCCTTATCATCTGCTCAGCCTGCTTTCTTATAGAAGCCAGGACCATCAGTGTCCAGGAGTGGCCCCACTCTCAATGGGCTGGACCCTTCCCCACCAATCACTAGTTAAGAAAATGTGCTACAGGCTTGCCTGCCTAGAGTCTCACCTTTGGAGGCATTTTCTGAACTGAGGCTCCCTCTTCTCAGATGACTCTAGCTTGTGTCAAGTTGACAGAACTAGCCACCCACTGAGTCATCCTCGAGACCCAGGGGCTCAAAGCTTCTGTGTGGGAACTGGACTGAACCTGAAAGGGTTGGACAGCAGAAGACCTGGCGCGTATTCCCTCAGGGCTGGGAGAGAGTGGGAGAGGGAGAGAGGCTCCCACACATTTCCGATCTCACATACTCCCCCAGAACACATGGTCCCCGCCACAGCCCTCGCTGGTTGATGCCCTACCCTTTTGCCTCGGGAGCCGTTTCTCTATTGAGACTTGGGCTTAGGTGATCTCCTCCTCCAGGAAGCCTTCTCTGCTTAGCCAGTTTCTCCTTCCTTCTCATTGCCCAGAACCGTGTTTTCCATGCCAAGCTGTCCTCTTCTGTTCTCTTGTTTGCTCACTGGTGGAAAGTCGGGTCGGGAAACTAAACTAGACGTGACTTGAAGCTTGTAACTTCCATGCGAGGCATATTCAGCAAATACCTTCTTCAGGTCAGGCCCTGATCTAGGAGGCTTCGACGGGGAACAAAAGTTGGGAAGAGTTTTTGTGTGGTGGGAAAACGCAGGCTGTGTTTGTCACGGTTGGTTAAGTCTGGTAGCACTCTTTAGTGACTCTCAGTGACTTATGAAGTGTGTTCCTTGCACACCTAAGTCTGCCGTGGTGATTTGTCTAACTTCCATCAAGTGAAGCCAGACCCTCAAATCCTTCTACCATGTCCTCTGGCCACTATGCGGGCAGCCTCAGCCACCACGGTAGGAAGACTTCAGGAGGACGTCCTACTCGAGCTACGGGAGGAGATGCGAAGCGTTCTAACAGCCCATTGGTCAGAAATGACCACGTGACCCTGTCCTACCCACGAAGGAGGTTGGGAAATGTAGTTGCCAAATGTGGAGCGGCTGCCCTCTAACAGTAGCCTTTACTGAGCAAGAAAGATGTGTGCGGCAGTCTCGGGCTGAAGGAAATGTCCACATATACCCACAGAGAAGGTGGCGTCAGTTAAAGGTTGCACAAGAGCCAATTTCTTCACTCAGTAATTATGTAAAGTCCTAGGAGGACTGTGAGGTATGAGCCAAGCCCGCGTTCTGGGACAGTGCTCATGGATAAGGTGTCAGGTGACTTCAATTTGTCCCCTCCTAGCCTGCCTCCCAGGACTCCAGAGGTCCTCTGTAGTTTTAGTCACAGTAACATGCGCTCCCCCTCCCCCACTCCGGTAGACTTTAGGCTCCACTGCAGCCAGCTAAATCGGCTCTAGCCACCACACTCGGCCAATCAAAGACCCCTTGCCGCAGTAACATGGTGTTCTGAGACTGGGGACAGGCAAGAGGGTCCTGATTTCCTCAATTAAGAGGGACCAAGATAAGTACCATCCCCTAAAGCCCCCAAAGCAAAACCTCCATCTAAACAAAAGAGCGGAGCAGCAGATGACCTGGATATATTTTATTGTTCTTGAGATTAACAGGAGCAGGGGTATAGACAAGATGTGACACGCCCCACCCAGGGCATGTTTGAATATCCCCCAAACTGCCCAGGGCCCCCAGCCTTGGGGGAGAGGGTTCTGAAATTATACCAGGTCAGTCTTGTCACATGGGGCAGGAGATGGAAGTCGGACTTTAACACCCAAACTTTTCAATTCCACCCTATCTGAGGAGGTCCCTTAGAAGATGTGGAAGAACCATCAGTGCTGAGGGGGTGTGAGACGGTGGGGCTGTTGGGGACAAGGACAATGACAATGAGGTCAGCCCCTCTTGTTTGCAGGGACAAGTAGGGCTTTAACTTCCTGACTGGGATCACTGAAGTGGATAAGGAAGGGGATTGGGTGGATGCTATGTACAGAGGGCTCTGGTTTAATACCTAAGGGGAAAGGGTGAAGGAGATGGGGTAGGGCACACAGGGCTCAGTCATCCTAGATTTAAAACCCGACTCTGGGCTTAGTCCTCCAACAGAGGCTCCCCGTCCCAGGCTTCCAACTGTGGACTTTGCTTCTCCAGGGTCTCCTGGCCCCTGCTCAGGTCCCCTAGGAGCTGGAGCAGGCCTGTTTGGCCACAAGTCCCCTGGGCCTCACAAGGGTGACCCACTGCCCTCTTGCCAGGATGCTGGCGTTTCTCAGGCATTGAGCCACCCTCTCCCTCGTTTTCTTCCCAGCTTGTTTGAAACTTGGGATCTATGAACCTCCGGCCAGGATGCTGCCTCTTGGTGATATCGGACTCCAACCAGGGCAAAGATCTCCGGCCGGGGTGCTGCCGCTTGACTTGGGGAATACCTAAGGACCAGGAATCCAGAAAGAAATGTGGCAACCTGGACCGTGGCACCCAGTCACTGTCTTCCATCATGTCTACCCATGAATACTTGTCCTGGTTGGCACGGCGGCCAGGGTGCTGTCGTTTGTGGGGACTCCAGGCTCCCCCTTCTCCCAAGTCCCCCCTCTCTTCAGCTTCATTTTCTTCTTCCTCCTCCCTTTTGCCCGGATGCTGGCGCTTCGAGATCCAGGAGTCTGGAGAGAAGAAAAAGCCAGTGTGGAGAACCTGGTCCCTTCATTAGGGATGCTTGCTTGCAGTCTGTGACCCACTCCCGCACTTCCAGGAGCCCCTCCCTCCCACGGTCTGCTCCCTAAGCCGTATAGACCTCCCCCCCACCCTCCACAGATGTGGTCAAAGACACTGCCTCTGGCTTCCAGCCCCAGCTTCCCTGCTGGGTGACCATAAGCCACTCCAGTTCTCTGAACCTGTTTTCAATACAAAATGGCAACGTGCCCTTATAGACAAGGAGATGCATACAAGTACTTAGTAAACAGTAATTAAAACTGTCATGGATAGGGACCATATGAAATTGTAACTACTGAAAGTCTGTCTTCCGATTATTTTTAGCACTGAAAATTATTGTGGTCTCAAGGACTGGTCACCTCTCCACCCTGTTGAGGAAGTGGCTATTGAGCCCGGCTGAACTTAAGTCTGGAAGGAGCATCACATGTGGCTCCCCCAACCCTCTCACATCGCTCCCCTCCCCCTATATTTACCTAAGGCTGCACCCAGGTCTCCTCGCACCCGCTGGAGGTCTTTCCTCAAGGATCGACGTTCTGGCCACATCTGGACGTTCCCCAGACCAGGAGTCACTGCACCCTCTTCCTGGGCTGCCTCCGGCGAGGCACAGGATTCGCGGATACCAGTTACGGTGAAGATCAAAGCCAGAGCCAGCAGCAGCCACCGGCCCGGCATCGTGGCGTCTAGAGTCAAGGACAGTGGGAACAAGGGTGAATGCACCGTGGGGCTCTGGGGTCACACCCTCACCCCTCCAAGAACAGGGTTACCGGCCACATGCCTGGTCCATCTGAGCCTCTCCCAATTCTCCTGGTCCACTAGGGTAGCCAAACCAGGAGGCGGTGGAAACCTCTCTGTTCCCGACATCCAAAGCTGGGGAAGTCAGCGCTGCGTTTGGGATTGATACCCACCCCATGTACCCATCAAGGCTGTAGCGCTGGCCGGAAAAGTTAAAGTCATCGCGGCCAAAACTGTCCCCAAGTTTCCGTCTTACATTCTAACCCCAGCCCTCCCCTGCCAACCTCCTTCCTTACTCCAGAGCTGAAATTCTGGCTCGCTGCACAAAATCTGTGTGCAACCCTGCGCTCATGTGTCTAGGTTAACCAAGACTCTCATTGGACGCCCACATCCTAATTCCAAAGCGAAGGTTCTACTTCTAACGTTAGTGTACGCATTCGAACTCTGGGGAGGGTCCGATCGATCGTCCCCGTGTGGACCTGTTGCT